TGCCAAAGTGAGAGGGGTGACGGGAGGAGGGGGGAGCGGGAGAGGAGGAGAGAGGAGAGGAGAAGACGCGGGGATTGCCTCGTCAGAACGAGGACCCAACACCACAGGATCGTTGGGAGAAGTCGTTTCTCCCTCCTGTGAGAGGGGAGGGCGAGGCCCCCCCTCCCCCTCCTCCTCCCCTCCCCTCTGCAGCCCCCTCCCCCTCCCCCGCCCCCCCTCCCCTCCCCCCTGCAGCCCCCTCTGCAGCCCCCTCCCCTCTGCAGCCTCCCCTCCCCCTCTGCAGTCCCCTCCCCCTCCCCTCCCCCTCCCCCTCTGCATCCCCGGGGTGCCGTGCCCGCGGAGAGCCCCCGAGGAGAGCGGACGGCACGCCGCGCGCGCGCTCGGCCGAGTGGCGCCGCCGCCGCGCACGCCTGGCGGCCTCCCCCCGCTTGGCGGCCCCCTCCCCCGGCGGCCTGCTGGCGGCCCGCTGCGGCGCCCGGCGAAGTGCCGGCGGCCTCCGCCCCCGACGGCGAGGGCGACGGCGGTGGCGACGGCGGCGGCGGCGGCGGCGACGGCGGCGGCGGCGGTGGCGGCGACGACGCATTCTTTCTCTCCGTGAGGGGCGGCCCCGGGGCGCGTCGCGGCAGGCTCTCGGCGGCGTCATCGAGCAGCAGACGGAGGTGGGCTCCCGGCGGCCCTTTCGTGCCTCCTGCTGCTTTGCTGCTGCTCCATCTCCTCTGCTCGTCCTGCTGCTGCTGCTTTTCCTTCTCCTCATCCTTCTCCTCCTCATCCTCATCCTCCTCCTTCGCCTCCTCCTCGTCCTCCTCCTCCTTCGCCTCCTCCTCCTCGTCCTCCTCCTCCTCCGCCTCCTCGTCGTCCGCCTCCTCATCATGGATTCCCTTCGAGGATCATCCGTTAAAACTGGAAGGATACAAAGAAGATTAGCATGGTCCCTGCGCAAGGATGACACGCACAAATCGAGAAGTGCATCATCATCATCATCATCATCATCATCATCATCATCAGCAGCAGCAGCAGCATCATCATCATCACCATCACCATCATCATCATAATCATCATCACATCATCATCATCACCATCGCCATCGCCATCGCCATCGCCATCATCATCATCATCATCAGCAGCAGCAGCATCATCATCATCATCATCATCATCATCATCATCATCATCATCATCATCATCATCATCATCATCATCATCATCATCATCATCATCATCATCTTCATCTTCATCTTCATCTTCATCTTCATCTTCATCATCATCATCAGCATCAGCATCAGCATCAGCATCAGCAGCATCATAATCATCGTCCTCCTCCTCCTCCTCCTCCTCCTCCTCCTCCTCCTCCTCCCCCTCCTCCTCCTCCTCCCCCTTCTCCTCCCTCTCCTCCCTCCGTTTTCTCCCTCCATCCCCGGGGCCCGTGACGCGCGGTGCCGCCTGCGCTCGGAGGGGCCATCGGCCCACCCTGCCGCCGCGGCCCGGGTCGTGGGCCGAAGGTTGCATAAGGGCCTCGGTGTCGGGGGCGGAAGAGAGGGGGGCCTCCTCCTCCTCCTCCTCCTCCTCCTCCTCCTCCTCCTCCTGCTCCTCCTCCTCCGCCTCCTCCTGCTCCTCCCCCTCCTCCCCCTCCTCCTCCTCCTCCTCCTCCTCCTCCTCCTCCTCCTCCTCCTCCTCCTCCTCCGCCTCCTCCTCTGGGTCGGCGGGCTGGCCCCCGAGGTGGTGGGCCGAGCTTCCGCCCCTTACCCGGGGGCGGAAAAGAGGGGGGTGATGACTAGGGGGGGGGTATCATGGCGTGGGCCATGATATTTCCCCAGATTTCATGGCGCCTCTTCTTGTTTCATTACATCTCTGGCCCCCCCGCTGGGCCGCGCACACGCCGACGGTCATGATTTGCACCCCCCCTTCTTGGACGCCCCCCTCTTGGCCGCTCCCGACGATGTGTGCGTGCCCTCTTCTCAGGGGCCACGCTGGTCTTCGCTGCATTTCCTACTTCTAGAGTAAAGAGGCGTTGCCTCTTCCCTTCTCTTCAGGGGTCGGGCGGAACCCCAGTCTACTTCAGCGCCCTATCACTTAATGTTTCTGCCGACCTCTTCCGGGCATCAAAACCTCATCCTGGTCTTAAGTCGGTCCTGTCCCTCTACAGGAGGAATATTCAGAACTAGTTCAAACAACTAGTCCGGGGACCATTGTTGGAGCATGTTGTTTAGCTAATTTGGAGTTTCTGTCAGGGTATTTGCTTTGATGTTTCGCCCCAGATCCCCTCGTATGGGGGACAGGGCCGACCTCATCCTGGGCGCGTGTACAGCTGGAGATCCGGGCGTCGGCCCGAGGATGCAGCCCCGCGCCTGCAGGACCGCTCGTGGGGCCACTGGGTTTCGTCTCGCGCCCCATCCTGTGTGGGTGCCGCTCACCTCTCTAGTGGTGGCGACAGGACGAGCTTGCAGTCTTCAATACATGCCGAGTCGGCGAACAAAAAAGACAAACAGACAAAACACAAAAAACAAAAAAAAAAAAAAAAAAAAAAAAAGGATGCAGCCCCGCGCCTGCCCACGAGAATTCTCGCAGGGGGGAGCGACGGGGCAGGGGAGGGGAGAGGAGGGCGTCGGCGCGGCGGGCCCTCGCGCGCCCGTGCTGCTGGCACCCTGGCAGGCGCACGGCATGGGCGGACAAACGGGCTGGGGGAGGGGGAGAGGGAAGGGGGGCGAGGGGGGAGGGGGGAGGAGAGGAGGAGGAGGAGGGGGAGGGGGAGGAGGAGGAGGAGGAGGAGAGGAGGGAGGGAAGGAGGAGGAGGAAGGAGGAGGAGGAGGAGGAGGAGGAGGAGGAGGAGGAGGAGGAGGAGGAGGAGGAGGAGGAGGAGGAGGAGGAGGAGGAGGAGGAGGAGGGAGGAGGAGGAGGAGGAGGAGGAGAGGAGGAGGAGGAGGAGAGGAGGAGGAGGGAGGGAGGGAGGGAGGGAGGGAGGGAGGAGGAGGAGGAGGAGGAGGAGGAGGAGGAGGAGGAGGAGGCTTCTTTCGGGGCTCACGGAAGGTGGGGGCTGGGAGAAGGGGGGGTATGAATGAGTTGTCCCAGCCCTCTTGCGTTGGTTGCTCGTTTTGAATAGAGCAATGCGTGCAACGCCTCCTCCCGCCTCCCTCCTCTCTTCCTTCCTCCTCTTTCTGAGGGGGCTGCGATCTGCGAAACTGTCGCCACTGTCGAGGGCTGCTGGGAGGTGCAGCAGAGTGACGTCTTACCCAGACCACCAGGGGACCTCGCCATCCCTGGGGGGCTGCGATCTGCGAATTCTGTCACCACTTTCGAGGGCTGCTGGGGGGTCCAGCAGAGTGACGTCTCACCCAGACTCAAATGAGACCTCGCCATCCCTGGGGGGCTGCGATCGTTGAAATCGTCGCCACTTTCGAGGGCTGCTGGGGGGTCCAGCGGAGCGACGTCTTACGCGCACCAGGGGACCTCGCCATCCCTGGGGGGCTGCGATCTGCGAAATTGTCGCCACTTTCGAGGGCTGCTGGGGGGCGCAGCGGAGTGACGTCTTACGCGGACCACCAGCTTGGACCCTTTTGTTCCCAGCCTGGACAATTTCCTGATGATACGCGGCCTGGCCCAGATTTCCTTGCCCGCGGGCCGCCCGCAGACGTGGCCGCACGCCTTCGAGCGTTTAGCTCCCGCATTGAAAAATATTGGAAGAAAGCAAATAAGCTAGCGGGCGAGCTAGGCTTCGTTCGCTTCTTGCACTAGCTATGAGCAGGTTTGATCCTCTCGAGCGCCGCGGTGACATGGCGCAGGCAGTGCTGCATTTTTAGCATACTCTCGACAAGGGCAACACCCTCCTGTCTCCTCCCGACGCTTTCATCGTCGTCCACCTCCCCCTGTCTGCCGCTTTCATCGTCGTCCCGACGCTTTCATCGTCGTCCACCTCCTCCCGACGCTTTCATCGTCGTCCACCTCCCGACGCTTTCATCGTCGTCCCTTCTCTCTGCTGCTGCCGCGCTGACTGTTCTGCCCCCTCCGCGTCCTTCTCCTGCTCTTCGTTCCCGCCCCCATGGCCTCTTCGAGCCTGGGCCCTGGCTCCTCGTCCTTCTGTTGCTGCCCCGTGAGTCATGCCACGCGCGCGTATCCCACGTAGCCTACACAACATACCACGGCGCCTGCACTGTCACTGTCCTGGCAAGCTCGGGCCAACTCATCGTGTCACCTGATGCAAATTGGTTGGGGACGTCACGGGGTATGCATTTGTTGGGTGGGGGGTCCGGTACGAAAACTGCTGCGTGAAGCTCGTTTCCTGCTCCGCCCCTGGCCGGGCCTCCAGCGCTGGGAGGGGGCGGAGAGATCAGCGGCGCCAGCCGCTGCACAAATTCAGCCTCCTCCTCCTCCTCCTCCTCCTCCTCCTCCTCCTCCTCCTCATCCTCCCCCTCCTCCTCCCCCTCCTCCCCCTCCTCGTCCTCTTCCTCCTCCTCCTCCTGCTCCATTCCGCCTAACGCTCGTGGCGCGTTGCCAGGACCAGGAGAAGGGGGAAGGGAGATGGGCACTGCCAGCATTGGGGGGGTCAGCGACTTCCCCCTTTCTCGTCCGACCCGGCTCTTGGGGTTTCTTGGGAGGCCGCTTTGGCGGTCTCGGGGACAGTATCGGAAAGAAGGGCTCGCTACATATCCTGCTCTTAGGGGGCCCTGTGGCCTGTGGTGGCCTCTTTCGGACCCCTCTTGCGGGCTTCGGGGGCCATCTTCGGGGCCTCGCCCTCCCCCGTTCGAATGGCCCCTGTCCCGTTCTATCGTCTTGGCTGTTTCGGCGAGCGGTCTCGTTGTAGGCCAGCGTCTCGATCACAAGCATATCAAAGTGCGTGATTGTGTTATTCTATGGAGCGCGTGGGCACACGTTCGGCGAAGGCGGTCAGCATCCATATATAATGTCTCATCCTCTTGATAGTATCATTACCGCTCCTGCTCCTCTCGAAGGTGGTCGGCCTCAACCTCCTTCCGGACAAGCGCTGGGAGGTGATCACGCGGACCTCGCAGGCGGATGTTCCAAGCTTCCTCTGAAAGTCAGCAGGAAAGCAATCAGGGAAACAGCGGGATACAATTGTGTATATCTATGAATACATATATGTGCGTATGCATGGATGTATGTATGCATGCATGCATGTATGTGTATGTATGTATGTATGTATGTATGTATATGCGCATGTATGTATGTAAACACCTATGTATGCGTGTATGTATGCATGCGTGCATGCATGTATGTGTTTGTGCATGTATGAATGTATATGTGTGAGTGTATGGGTGCACGTTAGGTATGTATGTGTACGAATGCATGCCTGTACGCATGCATGTATGCATGTTTGTATACATGTATGTGTGTACGTATGTATGTGTGCGTGTAAGCATGTATGTTTGTATGTGTGTATGTGTGTATGTATGTATGTATAGATGTATGTATGTATGTATGTATGTATGTATGTATGTATGTATGTATGCGTTCATGTATGTATTGCTTGTATGTATGGATTGCATGTGTGTACTTGTGTAGTTGCAGATGTATATGTAGATGCAGGTGCAGATGTAGATGCATATGCAGATGTAGATGTAGATGTAGATGTGGATGACAGCCAGCGCGCACGCCAAACAGTGTGTTTCGAGCAATATAGGTGGTGTAACCTTTGTGATGCACACATGTGGAGAACATATGTGAGGCATCATCTGTTGTGCAATCTATGTGGTTTAGGTCATGGTTGCTCGCAGTGAGTTGTCAACTCCACTGCTCGCGCTATTATCGCACCCACTCACCCGCAACTCGGTTTGCAAAACCCATGCGGGGTCGATTGCGATGACTGCTTGGCGCCCGCTGGCGCATCGCTGCGGCCGCGCTAGCGCGCGCAGGCTCGCGCGCCGAGCGGCCAGCTAGTCTGGCGCGACGGACGCAGCCGCGGTGGCGTTGTTCGCTGGGGATTTTCCAGCACGTACGTCTCGCAGGCCGCTCCGACGCACGGGCACATCAGCGTGAGTCGGTGACTCGGGCGGGCGCGGTATTATGGCGACGTCGACAACGGCTGACTCGATGGCAAGTGTTGCGAAGCTGGTGGCGATGGTGGCGATGCTGACGGCGAGGGCAATGACGGCACCGATGCTGACCACGACGATGACGATGATCGTGCTTTCGCGTTTGTGGTGAAGGTTTGGGAAGGACTTCGCGCGGGTTGGCCGACGCGACAAGTGGCCCACAGGGTTTTTTTGACAGGGGCCAGCCCCCCCCCCCAGCAGGCGCGCGAAGGATCTCGAACGATTTCGACATGCGCGCGCGAGGGGCCCGCTTGGCAGCATGTGGTGAGCAGGTTGAACGCCAATGGTCTCCTGGGAATCCGGAAGGTCGCGAGCGCAGCTTTTCGGGAACCTTCCTGTTGCGAGACTGGTGTTTGCTTGTGTGTTTCGGGGCGGTCGATGCTGGATTCCTCGCGACACTCCGGGGTTTTGGCGGATCCAGCATGCGTGCGCGACGACGCGCGCGCGTGCACGTTGTCTCGTTTTTGGGGGCGGGTTAGGGAGCCTTGCGACAGCACGCTCGCAAAAGCGTTCGGGCGATGTCGACACGCGCGCGCGACAGGCACGTTTGGTAGCAGTTGCTGAGCATGTTGGTCCATGCCTGTGGTGTTCGTACAAATTCGCATCAGCGCGGGCGCATGCTTTTTAACATACACGTGGTAGACGAAATCCGTGCGAAACCACTCGAGTTGTATATGTTGTCGGGGCGCTCGACTTCGAGATCCGTACGAAACCAGCGGTTATGTTCTCCGGATTTCGGCATGCGCGCGACGCCGCGCGCATGCGCAGTTTTTCGGCCCATTGTGGATGCAAGAGGTGTGTTGAAAACTGCTGGCGTTTGATATCACGAGTGCGCGGGTCGTTCTTCTGCAGAGGATGAGATGAGGAGGCGGCACACGACTCCTTGGCATGGTACGAAATCATTTTAGGATGGGCGATTCAATGTGCACAAAAAATGACACGTCGGGGGAGGGGAGGACCCAATATTTTGCAGAGAAAACGGAGTGGTGCGATTTATGTTTTGCAGTTTACATGGTGCAGCCTCTGTTGCGCAGTCTGTCTGGTGCAGTCTATGTTGTGCACTTAATCTTTGGCCGCTTTGAAGCTGTCTTCTCCACTGCCCGTGCAAGCATCCCACCCTCCCACCCGCAACTTGGTCGCACGACCTCTTAAGACAAGACCGTGACGGTACGTACCACATGATATTGGGCCACGACACCGACGACAGCGACAATGACGACGACGACGACGGCACCGCCGACACCGACAACGACGACGTCTCCAACGACTTCGACGACGACAACGACGACACCGCCGACGACGACGACGACGTCAACGACGCCGACGACGACGACGACGACGACGACGACGACGGCGACTACGGCGACACCGACGACGTCTCCGACGACCTCGACGACGACAACGACGCCGACGACGACGAAGACGACGACGACGCCGCCAACGAAGACGACGACGAGGGAGCACGAAGGACGACGACGGCGACAACGACGACAACGACGACAACGACGAGGGAGGAGGGAGGACGGCGACGACGCGAACGACGAAGAAGGAGGACGTACGCCGGCGCCGACGACGACAACGACGAGGGAGGAGGGAAGACGACGACGACAACGGCGACGACGACGACGGCGACGAAATAGGAGGGACGACGACGAGACGCCGACGACGGACGACGACGACGACGACGAGGGAGGAGGAGGAAGGACGACCACGGCAGCAACGACGACGGAAACGACCACGACGCCAAAGAGGACGACGACGACGAACACGAGGGAAGACAGAGGACGACGTAGGCGACGACGACGACGACGACGCGGGAGGAGGGAGGACGGCGACGACGACGACCACGACGCAAGAGCGCACGCGCACGCTTTTGTTGAATATCCGTGTTGCGAAACTTTGTGTTGTTGTAGGTTTTTTGGACACGATTGTGAAATCCTCCCGATTGGGTTTTTGAAGGTTTTCGGCATACGCGCGCGACGACGCGCGCGTCTGCACTTCGTCCCGTTTGTTGCAAAGGATTCTCGCGACGGCACACGCGCAAGGGCGTTCGACTGATTTCGACGTGCACGCGCGAAACCCGTTTAATAGAATTTTATGAAAATCTTGAAAAGCCATGGTTTGCTTAAGATTTCGCAAGAGCTCGCGCGGAAACTTCTGTAGCAAATCAGTGTTGCGAAACCTTGTGTTTTTGTATGTTTTTGGGGAACTCGATTGCGAAATCCTTCCAGCACCAGAGGTTTTTGAAGGATTTCGTCGTCGCGCGCGCGACGACGCGCGCGTGCGCACGTCGTCCAATTTTTTGGCCAGGGATTCGCGAAAAAAGTGCGATGCTAGAGTCAAACATGTAACCGCATAGTGTTTTTTTACCAGGGACCCTCAGGGGGGGATACCGGCCCTCCGGGGATAGTGCAAATTTATATTTAGATGGACATGTGGTCAGAATCGTATATGATTTTCATACCCGAAAAGGGGACTGATAACGCCGGGGGTGGGTAGGTCTTATTTTGCTTTTAGAAATGAGAATTAATTTCTGTTCGCAGTGAGTTGCCCACCCCACTGCTCGCGCAATCTCCCCACCCAACCACCCGCAACTTGCTTTGCAAACCTCATGCGGCGGCGATTGCGATGAGTGTTTGGCGCTGGCTGGTGCATCTCTGCGGCCGCGCCAGCCCGCGCATGCGCGCGCAACGGCCAGGTAGTTTGGCGCGACCAACGAGGCCGCGGTGGTGCTGACCGTTCGGCACATCCCAGCGGGCACTTGAATGCGAGTCGGCGGCTTGGGCGGGTGCGGTATCATGGCAAAGTCGGCATTTGTAGGCACGATGACGACGATAGTGGTGAAGTTGGTGACGGCACTTGTAGACACCAGGATGATGATGATGCTGATGCTGATGATGATGATGATGCTGCTGCTGATGATGATGATGATGATGATGATGATGATGATGATGATAGTGGCGGTGACGGCGCCAATGCCGATCACGCCGACAACGATTACGGCGTCTTCGCGTTGGTGATGAAACTGTTGCAGGAATTCGACATGCGCGCGCGGGAGACGCGTGATTTTACTTGACACGGATCGTGCCACCCCAGCACGCGCGCAAGTGCTTTCGAACGATTTCGACGCGCGCGCGGAGCCCGATTTGTAGCTGTTTATGGACATGTTGAAAAACGTGTGGTCCTCTTAAGAATTCGCAGGAGCGCGTGGGCACGCTTTCGTTGAAAACCCGCGTCGCGACACCCGATATGTTTGCATGTTTTTCGTTGGACATTCGATTTCGAATTCCTTCCGGGATGTGTGTTGTTGAAGGATTTCGGCATGCGCGCGCGACGACGCGCGCGTGTGCATTTCGACATATTTGTGCAAGGGGTTTTCGCGACGGCGCGCGCGCAAGGGCGTTCGAACGATTCCGACACGCGCGCGAGCAAAGCCCGTTTTGTAGCTTTTGTTTCCCAGCCCTCTTTGGTTGGGTATTCGTTTTGAATAGAGCACTATGGTCGCGAACTTTTCCTCCAGCCCCCCGCTCTCGCCACTTTCGAGGGCTGCTGGGGATGCCAGCAGAGAGGGCACCCACCGCGGATCCGAATTAATTTGCGACGCTTTCGCCACTTTCGAGGGCTGCTGGTGGGTCTTGCGGACTGAGGCACCGCGGGGATCTGAGCGAGACCTCACCGTCCCTGGGGGGCTGCGATTTGCGATGCTGTCGCCCGTTTCGAGGGCTGCTGGTGGGTCCAGCGGATTGAGGCACCGCGGGCATCTGAGCGAGACCTCGCCGTCCCTGGGGGATTGCGATCTGCGACGCTGCCGTCACTTTCGAGGGCTGCTGGTGGGTCCTGCGGACTGGGGCACCGCGGGCATCTGAGCGAGACCTCGCCGTCCCTGGTGTGCTGCGCTATGTGACACTGTCGTCAGTTTGAAGGGTTGCCGGTGGGTCCTGCGGACTGAGGCACCGCGG